AGAGTTTGATCATAGGACATTAGTTACAATCTTTGTCAGGTAAAAAAGAATCAGAGTAAAAAAAAAAAAAGTAAATAAATAAGTTATTCTTAAAATTCAGTAGTGCCAAGGAGCGGAAAGGAGAAAAAAAACAAAACCAGACATGAAAATGTTGTTGTATAGGTCTAGGGTCAGGGGGAAGCTAATTTAATCCTTTATGAGGTACTAAAATAATTGTGAGTTTTGTATAAATAGGGCACATCATTAGGTCTGAAATCTGTTATTAGTTTGTTCTAAATTTATTTAGACAGCCGCTATTTTTTTTGGTGTGGGGATTCAAGTATTGTCCACAAGTGTCTCTTCCATTTAGATTTGGAAATGTAATTGGTTTGATATGATACCGCTTTCGATACCAAAGTTGTTTGAGATTTCCAGCTATGTGCAATAGTATTTTAACGGTTGTTAGACAATAAAGGTGGCCATTCCATATGGAGTAATGCCATCCCAGGTGTTCTGTTTAATTACATTTTTAGTATAGGTTCTAGCGATTCAAATATTTGCAACCGTAAATTCTTAACCTTTTTTTTGCACTTCCACAATATGTGGATATAATTTCCTTCTTTTAAACTACATCTCCAACATAAAGAAGAAGAGTTTGTATTTTTATTGCCAGTCATCTTTGCCAGTTAATTGCCAGACATCTTTGTTCAATCTTACACCAAGATCTTTTTCCCATGCAATAAGGGCTGTTGTGAGTTCAGTTTTTTGGGGAAGATTTGAGCATAATAGAGGCTCGAGAGACTATTTTCCTTGGTTTAGCAATATCAAATAAGTCTCTTAGCTTAGACTCAATTTCTAGGGCTTCCTTCAGCATGTATATGTTTTGAAAATTGGACGTTTCTGTAACTGGTAATTGAAAATGATCCAGAGAATTTTAAAAATTCTGATTTATTTAACAACTGACTTATAGATACTATTCCACAAGATCTCCATTTACTTGAGTTTATATATTTTATAGTGTATTCTAGTAATTCTAAAGAGAGAAAAGCTAAACTTAGTTCCTAATAGACATGTGCAATTCGTTTCGGTCCGAATTAAAATTTGGCCGTATTTCGGGTAATTTGGACATTCGGGTGCTTCCAATGTCCAATAGCTGAATTGCCGAATTTCCAAAGTGTAGTAGTGCCGAAGTTGCCAAAGTTCTGACGTGTCAAAGTGCCGAAGTTCCGAAGCACAGTATTGCCTAAGTACTAATATACTTACCCAGTGAAAGAAGAAGAATGTTACACTGTATACAATTTCAAATAAAAAGTATACAAACATAGCCAGGATTCAGCTGTAAGCATTTGCAACACTTACAACAATCAAGTAACATACATTCACATAAAATGTAAGTTACTTAGCCAGTCATGTAATGACAGGAATGAATAAGTAGATAACTCCCTAATTCCCATGGTATTAGGGAGCTAGCTACTAAAAGGCTGAAAGACCTAAATTGGTCTTTCAGCCAAATTTACTAATACTAAGTAAAGATTACTTAGTATTAGTAAATTATGCCCCTACTCACTATATCGCGAGTAGGGGCATGTCTATTAAGTGGCTGCTCACTGTAAAAAAAAAAAGGTCCCCCCTCCTGAGCCCCCACCCGCGACGTGACTTTTAAACTAAAGGGGACCTATTGGCCCACCTGGCCCCCACCCCTGAATGGCAGGTGGGGGCCGTAAAGTAAAAAAAGGGGGGAGGACCTATTGTCCTCCCCACCGGCCACCACTCATATTTAGGGGCCCCACCCACAACTCATGGGTGTGGGTTAGGGGGGAGGACAATAGCTCCCCCCCTTATTCTTGTTTAGGGCAGCCACCCACCGCTCAGGGGTGGGGGCCAGGGGGAAGGACATTAGGTCCCCCCAATTTGTATTAAGGGCTCAGGGGTGGGGGCCAGGGGAGAGGACATTAGGTCCGCCCCTTATTCTTGTTTAGGGCAACCACCCACCGCTCAGGGGTGGGGGCCCCACCGCTAAGGGGGGAGGACAATAGGTTCCCCCCCATTTGTATTTAGAGCCCCCACCCACCGCTCAGGGGTGAGGGCCAGGGGGAAGACAATAGGTCCCCCCAATTTGTATTTAGGGCCCCCACCTGCCGCTCGGGGTGGGGGCCAGGGGGAAGGACATTAGGACCCCCCCCAATTTTTATTTAGGGCCCCCTGACCGCCGCTCAGTGGTGGGGGCCAGTGGGGAGGACAATAGGTCCTCCTCCCTTTTTTTACATTAGGGCCCCACCCGCCGCTAAGGGGTGGGGGCCGAGGGGGCAGTAGGCCCCCCTTTAGTTTAAAAGCCCCCACTCGCGCGTTGCAGGTTGGGGCTCAGGAGGGGGGACCCTATTTTTTTTTTTTTAAGCAGTGAGCAGACACAGGCTGCTCACTGTTTAATAGACATGCCCCTACTCGCAGTATAATGAGTAGGGGCAAAATTTACAAATTTTTACTTAGTATTAGTAAATTTGGCTGAAAGAAAAGAAAGAGCGGCTGCAAGAAAAGTCCTGAAATGCCGGAGTTTCGAAGTGCCTAAGGTGGCGAAGTTCCGAAGTCCCGAATTTCGGAATGCCGAACCGAGCCGAATATTTTCCCCATGCACATGCCTAGTTCCTAAATCCATGCTTTCAGGGTCTGACTCAATGTCAAGCTTTGATTTTTTTTAAATATACATACTTAAACTTAGCTTTGGGATCCCAAGCAATGTAAAATAGATCTGCTGTTTTTTTTTTATTTATTTTTTTATCTGTTGTTTTTCAATATCCTACCAACCCTGATTTTGCATTTATTTTAGCTTGAAGTCTATAAACATGAGCTATAATATTGGCATGATATGTCCCTTTAATAGTTGGAAAGCTGAGAACTCCGTTTGATCTACTGTCAAACAACAATTTTTGTTGATTCTTGGTTTCCTCCCTCTCCAAATAAAGTTAGTTAAATCAGATTAAATTTGATTTAACTCAGCATCTGTAATAAACATAGGGGGTATATATAAGATATGACCATCTAGGAATAGTATGTGATTAATTACATTTATATAACCCCACCATGTGATTTCAGTATTTTTCCATTCCTTTAGAAGTTGATTAGTCTGTTTCAACATGTTTTTAATATTAGTTGTCATAATCTGATTTATATATTTTTTTTTTATAAACTGATCCCCAAATAGGGAAGATCTTGCTTTACCTATGTAAATCCATAATTTTTGTAAAATCTGTCTGGAATCGGATCGTCAATGTAAATCTTCTTAATTTCTTCTTGTCTTCAGTTGATTGATATATACGTCTTTTGTATAAATAGTCTTGGGCCAAATTTGCTCGCCACATTAATATATGTCTATATTAATGAAAAGTACTAATACACAATCTGATTTACGGTTTCTTCAGGTTTATTCTTAGTTACTGATACATAATAAAACAACAAAGGATGTTACAGGATAATGGATTTCAACAGCAGATGGTAATTGCTGGACTTCTGATAGGAGAGTTACATCCTTACATCTTTACATCGAGAGAGAGACAGAGAGCCAAGAGCCAAAAGCCAAGAGAGCTAAGAGACCTCGTGTTCAGTTACTATATAGATATGACCATAATGATAGGGACAAAACCCCCAACTTACATTCCAGAGCTCTCAGACAAAGAAAGACTTGTGACTTATACCATCTGTTACTTATGTCAATCCACACATCCATATAATCAATAGAAACATAGAGTTTGCAATATTCTACAATTCTGATCTATAAATGATTTGGTATCCGCGGTTAAATTTGAATCTAAAGCATACAATTTTTGAGCATTTTGCAATTTGATACTTTTTCATAGTTATTGATTTCCTTCATTAAGGGGGGCAGGGAATTAACAGGGTCAGAAATCATCAATAGGATGTCGTCTGTGTATAAATTAATTTTTAAATCCCTTTGATTAGTTGGAAATCCTTTAATGTAGGGATTATTTCTAATTGAAATAGCTAACGGTTCCATTGATATTGTCAGGAATTTTATTCATTTATTACTGGCCCTTTAAGACGGTGTGGAAGTACACACCCATTTGGTTATTTAAACTCCAATCTCCAACACCTCAGTGCACAATTAATGTGTTAATCTGACTGATTGGATAAACTTCCTTCCTAATCATTTGGTTCACTCCTAGAGAGACCGTGTGTTCCATCACCGGACCCCTTCTGAATCTCCTCTTCATACCCCTATATCTCTGATTACCTGGTTAACTAATTCAGACTGGCCTTGACTCTGCTTTTGGAATTTCCTTCAATACTGCTTGATCTCCTATTGAACGACCTCCTGGATAAAGGGCATTGCTTATGGACTAACCCTGGACACAGCACCTAAACTTCTATTTTTAAGGACTGTCAGTTTATCTCTCTGCTTTGTTGCCACAACAGTTTGCCGTGCTGAAACTGCCTCAAAATAACAAGTGAGTGGTTCTTATTTTTTTGTTTGGCATTTGTTAAAGAAAAAACATGACAGATATAATACAATGGATAGGGGAAAGAGGACAGCCACTTGATCCCACCACTCTAGCCATTGGGAACTATATAGTGACATAGATGCCCGATGTATCCATTGTTTTATTCCAAAGTTTAGTAAGGACTAAATATCCTAGCTGAGTCTGTCAGGAGGGATTGGTCAGATTTGTTTACAGATTCTAAAATGTTAATTATTCGCCTTGTGTGAAAGCATGAGGATCTATTGGGAACAAATCTATTTGGTCTGGGTGTATTATTGTTTCTAGTATTGTTTTTAGTCTTTCTGCTAGAACAGAAGAGAAGTTTTACATACACATGTAATTCTCTATTTTAGTGGGACATTTATTAGGTTTAAGTATTGGGATAACATTTGCTCTGACCAGCCCTCCGGGTAAGGAACCTATTTGTACAATATCATTAAAAACTTCTGTGAAAACAGGGGCAAGGAGAATTTTGACTTTTTTTTAAAATATAGATTACTATATCCATTTGGACCTGGTGTTTTAAATAGTTGCAGCTTGTTAATGGATTTGTTTAATTCTTATGTGAAAATCTGGTCATTTAATATTTTCTGTTGGTCCTTGAATATATTGGGAAATTTAATAGAGTGCAGATATTTAGTGATCTTATCTAGGGAACAGTTATTCTTTATGTTATATAAGTTGGTAGAAAAACTATTACTGTATATACTCGAGTATAAGTCGACCCGAATATAAGTCGAGACCCCTAATTTTACCCCCGAAAACTTATTGACTCGAGTATAAGACTAATGCAGCAGCTACTGGTAAATTTCGAAATAAAATTAGATCCCCCAAAAATTCTATTAATTGAATATTTATTTACAGTGTGTGTATATATAATGCAGAGTGTGTGTGTATGTGATGCAGAGTGTGTAACCTCGGTGGGGGGTGGGCATTTTTATTATTTTTTTTTTATTATTATTTTAATTTAAAAAATTTAATTTTTTTTTAATATTAAAATTTTTAGTTTATTTTAATATTATTTACATTTTTTTTTTTTCATCCCCCCTCCCTGCTTGATACATGGCCAGGGAGGGGGGCAATATTATTCCCTGGTGGTCCAGTGGATGGAGGGGGTCTGGCAGCAAGCTGAAACTTACCTTTACAGCAGCTCCGTTCAGCTCCCTTCTCCTCCGTTCCGGTTAGCTCCACTGAGTGCTGCGCGGAGCATTGCCACAAGACGCCGCGGCTCTCGCGAGACTTACAGTGGAGCTGAACGGCTCGGAAGAGAAGGGAGCTGAACGGAGCTGCTGTAAAGGTAAGTAACAGCTTGCTCCCAGCCCCCAACAGGACCGCCGGGCTTGTAATGAGCCCGGGGGTCCTGGTCTGTATTATGGCAATGTAAGTTGCCATAATACAGACACTGACTCAAGTATAAGACGAGTGTGGGTATTTCAGCACAAAAAATGTGCCGAAAAACTCGTCTTATATTCGAGTATATACGGTAAATGCTTTACCTATATCTTTTGGAGACATCAAAGTACTGTTTTTGACAATTAGTTTGGATATTCTATCAATGTCTTTTTTTCTCCTTATTTTACTTATTAGTATTTTATCTGCTCTATTCCCTCTTCACTCTTAATATAAACATAATATTTGATTTTGAGTCTCTCCATGCTTAATGCAATCTTCCTTAGCTGTATCTCTATTATATTTTTCTTGTGTTTACAATATTTGGGAAAAAGTATCATATGATGGATTTGTTTTAGATTTTTTAGTAGGATTAGATAATTGTATAAATAACAATGGTAAATCCTTTTCTAGCATATATTTTTTCCCAAATAGCATTGAGTGTTATTAAATGACCACGAATTATGGATTTACAAGTGCACCAGTTATTTGCTAAGGATGTCTCCATTGGGTCGTTTTCTTGCAGAAAACGTGTTTTTTCCTTACTTATGTATTCTACATTTTCATTATTGTTAAGCAGTAGATCATTAATTATCCAGGTGGTGTGTTATTAAATGAATGGGAATTTGTGAGTTCTAATATGACGATATTGTGGTAGGACCACACGTTTTCTTTCATTTCATTTTTGTGGACTCTATGCATCAGAGAGTAATTACCCCAAATCAAATCTATTCTTGAGTAAGACAAACGCACTCTTGGGAGATGGGTATAATCTCTCTCTGATGGATGGAGTGTCTGCCAAACATCATATATGTCAAAATTATTAAGGCATATTGTTAATGCTTTAGATTGTTTAATAAATTTTTGGTCAACTGAAAATTGTTAATCAGCTTTTTGCCAAAAGAGGTTTCTAAAACACAAGTAAAGTCTCCAGCAACAATGCTACTTCCAGTTTTAACTGCTTCTACTTTTTAAAGTATCGTATTGAGAAGTCACACTGGAGATATATTAGGTAAGTATACGTTGAGTAAGGTATATGTATGGCTCATTGTTTATTTTACAAATGATCATATATCTATCAATCGGGTTTAATTATTGATGTAGTAAACTGTATATTTCCAGAGACTATGATTGCAATTCCTTGTTGTCTGTTTTTTGTTAGAAGGGTGTAAAATAATTGGGAATCTATGTCTCCCCCCCCAACCACCCCCCCACACCAACCCCAGTAGGTCTCTTGAATAAATCTAATATCAACATGTTCCTTTAAAAGAAAATTATAAACTTGTGGTGGATTCAGACCATGCACGTTTACTGAGATCAGCTTAACCATTTGGTAGGTAAAATGCTTCCCAGAACCTGATGAACTTTCTCACCACGTGTCTCTCGAGAATTTATAAATAAGGTAAGAAAAGAAAATAGAAATTACAGAAGCAAAATAATGGATCAAGTGGGTATTGACCCATATTTAACAAGTGCACCAGGGAAAAAACAAAACTCTATCCTCGTGAACTGAACCAAGTCTGGAATTCAATGTGAATTGCAGAGACCTATGCCCTAAGGCATTAGGTAAATGTGGGAAGGGGGAGGGAGGGTGGGGGGGAATAAAATATATTAAAAATGATCTTGTTGTAACATAATTTCTTATTTTTTAGTGTATGGATTAGATAATATCTACTACTTAGGGCAAAAAGATTTCTATTTATGAAATCTGCATACTAGTGTATCCTTAAATATTCAACACCAAATACACCATAGATCATTATCCTTAGTATACTTAGAGTTGACATTCCAAGAAGACGAGAAAAAAAATATTTCCCTTTTCTTTTACTATTACTTTATTATAATAGTTTAATGTTTTACTCTGTATTACCTTAACTGCTATAGTTTACTAAACTAGTAAGTTTAATAATTGGATAAAAATGTGATAAAACCTAACAATTTTCTATCCAGTTTACAATCGTTGTGCTTTAGCATAGTGAAACAATATAATAGAGCTATTTTAGATAATTAACTATTTTAGATAAATGAGAAACCGCCACAACTAGAAAAAATCCCAATTACACTGCAAGGAAAAATAAACATCGTGAAAGTAAACTGCCAAGGCAGAATGTCATACAAAACACATTAGTACGGCAGTATGTTAAGACATAATGAATAAACTCAAATAGGCAACTGGTCCCAAATCACCGTAAAATTCAACCAAACACATGACAGAAACAATACAAAATCACAACAAATACTCCCAAAATAACCCACAATCCAGGAAGGGAAACATCAAAACAAAACAGGGGGTGGACATATTCGCCTTTTGTCTTTAATAAAATTTAGATTATTCCTTCACAAAGGCTAGAATAATCCCTAATTTTATGGCAAGACAGTAGGCTTCATATTTGTTATGTTAACGCCCAAACATCATCGCAGAAGAAACATGGGAGCGCGGACGAAAAAAAAAAACACGTGAAAAATCGACTCCCTAGACTGATCTGCAGCTAGGAGAATATCCATAAGGGACCTACCAGATACCAGAGTCACCAATACTGCAGTGCCCTGAAGGATCTCTCCATGCCTGCAGAGGCAGAGAGCCAGAGACTCGCTAGCATGGACACACATATAAAATCAATAGCCATCCACGGGGCAGAGAAATGAAGAGAACCCCCATGTGTTGAAGCCACCAATGAAGTTCCAGGCGTGCCTTGTCCAAAATGAGCACAATGAGCTGAAGTCCTGAGATAGCGAGCCACCAGGCGTAGTAGGGCCCAATAATGCATGGGTCCCAGGAAGATGGCCCGAATGGAGGATGAGGGCATACCCATTGTCCATGTCAGTTCCCACAAAATGACTCGAAGACTTCGGAGCAAGCACTTGACATCCTTTCGGAACAAGGACACCTTGTAGAGTGGGAGACGGAGCACCACCTGAGTCAAATCCACGATGAAGCTCAGAAATCGAACTCATCAAAAGTGCACCAGATATGACTTCTCCACATTGATGACAAACCACAGATCCTGGAGTAGAAGGATCATGAGGAACATTAAGACATCGCAGGACAATGGGGTCCTATGTCATCAGTAGAATGTCGTCGACATAGATGATACACCGTATGCCCCAAACTCTCAGAGCCACCACTGGTTTCAAGAATGTGATGAAGCACCATGGAGTGCCGCATGGAGTGCCGCAAGGTGACAGCAAGCTGGGTGACTTGGAGGGCTGGTCGACACTTTCGGATTCTTTCTCCTTCTATTCCTCCCAGTGCCAATACCACTTGCTGTTCCTCGGTGGTTTGTTTAGGGACTGTGGTTTCTCATCCACTCGGGCTCGATACTTCTCAGATAAGAGTTCTTCCTTATTTGCCTGACTTACCAATTACGGGCAGGCTGTCTGAATATTTCAATCTTTGTGCCCTCAACGCATTTCTCAGCATTTCAAGATGCAGGGCATTCATCTCTTAGGGATGTGATCAGTAGAATGTCGTCAACATAGATGATACACCGTATGCCGCAAACTCTCAGAGCCACCACTGGTTTCAAGAATGTGATGAAGCACCATGGGACCGAGACAAGGCCGAACAGAAGGCAGGGAAACTGTTGAATGCAGACTAGCCACCAGAACATTGCCTGTCATCACAATGAATCAGCACAATAAGAATGGCTTCCCTTAGTTCCAGACGCAAGAACCAAACATTCCTCCATCTTTAAATGTTGAGAAGCGCGTTGAGGGCACGAAGGTTGAAAAATTGAACCGAACATCCCTAAGAGATGAATGCCCTGCATCTTGAAATGCTGAGAAATGCGTTGAGGGCACAAAGATTGAAATATTGAGACAGCCTGCCCGTAATTGGTAAGTCAGGCAAATAAGGAAGAACTCTTACCTGAGAAGTATCGAGCCCGAGTGGATGAGAAACCACAGTCCCTAAACAAACCACCGAGGAACAGCAAGTGGTATTGGCACTGGGAGGAATAGAAGGAGAAAGAATCCGAAAGTGTCGACCAGCCCTCCAAGTCACCCAGCTTGCTGTCACCTTGCGGCACTCCATGCGGCACTCCATGGTGCTTCATCACATTCTTGAAACCAGTGGTGGCTCTGAGAGTTTGGGGCATACGGTGTATCATCTATGTCGACGACATTCTACTGATGACATAGGACCCCATTGTCCTGCGATGTCTTAATGTTCCTCATGATCCTTCTACTCCAGGATCTGTGGTTCGTCATCAATGTGGAGAAGTCATATCTGGTGCACTTTTGATGAGTTCGATTTCTGAGCTTCATCGTGGATTTGACTCAGGTGGTGCTCCGTCTCCCACTCTACAAGGTGTCCTTGTTCCGAAAGGATGTCAAGCGCTTGCTCCG